AAAAAAAAAAAAAAAAAAAGAAATATTTAATAAAACTTAATCTGTATATATATCTCTATATACACCAGTCACGATAATAAGAATGTTTTCATTTTCAAGCGGTTATCGCTTAAGAAGAAAAAAAAAAAATTACAAGAAAAGTGTTTGTTGTTGTTATTCGAGCAATTGGCCAATCAAGCTCGCAAAAGCAAAATTCACCGGCACAAAGTGATGATATTCGCGTGCGGATGCAAGCGGAAGATTTTTCAACCGCGATAACATCGATAATCGATATTCTCACGTAACGTAACCGGCTTCCGCTCGATGCCAATTCCTCTTCTCTCCGCATGTGTACGACAGCTATTACGTGTCATCGTGCGAAGATAATTGCTTCGTGAACGATGCGCGGCGAACCATGACCTCGTTCGCTTACCCAACCTTCACCTCCAATACGAGATACGATCGCTTTCTTTCCTTCGCTTCTTTTTATCTTTTTTCTTTTTTTTTTTTATCTCCTATCGCTTTTTCCAATTACGCGATGCGATTTCTTCCTTTATTTTTCTCGAGAAGAAGGAAGAAATTCGAACGGAAAAGTTTAAAAATTTTAGAGAAAAATTTCTCGAGGAAAATTTCGAAAGATTATTTTCTTATTTTTCACGCTCGATCAATTTTTTTCTTTTTTCCCATGTTTTCTTATTTTTCTCGAAAAGAAGGAAGAAATTCGAACGAAAAAGTTTAAAAATTTTAGAGAAAAATTTCTCGAGGAAAATTTTTTGTTATCTTCCACGCTCGATCAATTTTTTCCTTTTTTTCTATTTCGAATCTTTTTTTATTTTTCTTGAGAAGAAGGAAGAAGAAATTCGGAAAAATTTCTCGAGGAAAATTTTCACCTGAAAAAATTAGTCGATTTTATTTTCCACGCTCGACCAATTTTTTCTTTTTTTCTTATTTCGAATCTTTTCTTATTTTTCTTGAGAAGAAAGAAGAAAAAATTCGGAAAAATTTTTCGAGGAAAATTTTCACCTGAAAAAATTATTCGATTTTATTTTCCACGCTCGATCATTTTTTTTCTTTTTTTCCATTTCGAGTCTTCTCTTATTTTTCTTGAGAAGAAGGAAGAAGAAATTCGGAAAAATTTTTCGAGGAAAATTTTCACCTGAAAGAATTATTCGATTTTGTTATTTTCCACGCTCGATCAATTTTCTCCTTTTTCTTTAATTTCCAATTACGAATCTTCTTTTATTTTTCTTGAGAAGAAGGAAGAAGAAATTCGGAATTTTCACCTGAAAGAATTATTCGATTCCTATATTCGATCAATTTTTTTCTTTTTTTTATTTCCAATTACGATGCGATTTTCCCCTCAACTTCTCTCGAGATGAAGGAAGAAGAGGAGGAAGAAGAAATTCAAACGTTCAAAAGTTTAAAAATTTGATAGAAAAATTTCTCGAGGAAAATTTTCATCCGAAAGAAGAATTATTCGATTATTTTCGAGGCTCGATCAATTTTTTTTCTTTTCTTTTTTTCGCGTAACCTTTCGAACGAGTTCATTAGAATCGGAAAGTTGCTCGAGGAAGCGCGACCTTGAAGAATCCATCTCCACTTTCTGGTATACACTTAAAACAACTTTCCAAATTATGACGCGTGTTAAATTTAATGATTAAATACCGTGTACGGTGATTTACGAATGGAAGACGAAGAATTTTTTAAAACTTTCGATTTTAGAGATTTTTCGATGGAATAAGAAAAAAAAATATATATATATATATTTCTTTTTCTCCCATTGACATTGGCAACGCGAATGAAACGTGACGCGATGTTTACACGAGGATAATGCAAAATGAATTCCAAAATGGAAGAAAAAGCGTGTGAGAATCGAAATAGGATAAAAATACACGATCCTTGTATATTACTCGCCCATCAACGATTTCACGAGTGTATATTATCATCGTTTCAGATGGCGCTTATTTGCACACTCGCAATTATTTATGTGTTAACTTGCTTGAAGCCTCCTCTCTCTCGTTTTCGTGCACACAATCCTCTCCTCGAGGAAATTGACGTGTTGCATGCGAAATGTGTCTTTTTTTCCCCCCCGCCGAATCAGTGTTGTCCAGATGTGTCGCCTTTCCGCATGTTTCGTGTTGTAAAAACTGCACTAAAATTGCACGTGTCGAACGTGTGAAGGATGATAAATAATCATAAATCATCGTGTGTGAATTAAATCCCTAAAACAAAAAAAAAAAAAAAAAAAGAAAGGAAACAATAAGGAAAAAATAATACGTGTTTTCCTCGTAACATGCATGAATAACAAGGATAAGAAAAAGAAAATTAAAGACGAGTCGAAACCTGCCGCATGCTGACAGTAACGGTGAAACGTGCTTCGTGAGACGTTGACAATGAAAAAAAAAAAAAAAAAAAAAAAAAAAAAGGCACGGTGATGATGACTTGTGAAAACGACCAAATCCTATTTTCTTTCTTTTCATCGGCGAAGATGGATTGCGGGAAGATATACCCATCACGGATCACGCTGGGATATCGAGGGCGAGAAAACGAGAATCCAGCTCCTCGAACATTGAAACTACNTCCCCCCCTGTTTCCACCTTGCACCTATACACGCTGATCCCGCCCGATCCGACTACGAGTCCAGATCCCAAGACCAGCCACGCCTTGGATCCTGATAGATCCAAGAACGTGGATCCAACCCCGAAGAACGTGGCTCGAAGATCGACGAGCGAGCCAGATTCGACTACCGAACCCCCTTCCGCCAAATCGAAAACTCCAACTACCACCCCTGACTCGAAGGAGGATCCTTCCAACGACTCGAAGCCGAAAAGGCCCGCGCCGAAACCGGCTGGCAGATCGACCACACCGAGACCGAAGCCGAAACCGACGAGTCCCGACCCGGAAGACGCCGAGGAACCGGAGCCAGAAACGAGACGACCGATGTCAGGAAGACCGAAGGCGAAGCCCGTTGATTCCGAGGAGACGGATCCAGAACCGGAGCCCAGACCGAGAGGAGGAAAACCGAGACCGAAGGCAAAAGGCACGGATCCCGAGGAAGAGCCTTCCGCGAGACAGCTGTCCAACGGCGAAAGGCCGAAACCGAAACCGAGACCCGCTGATTCCGAGGAGACGGATCAAGAACCGGAGGCCAGACCGAGAGGAGGAAAACCGAAGGCAAAAGGCACGGATCCCGAGGAAGAGCCTTCAGCGAGACAGCTGTCCAATGGCGAAAGGCCGAAACCGAAGGCGAACCGAAGGCCCACGGATGAGGAAGAAGACGCGGAGGAGGATCAGGAGGAGGGGAAGAGGCAACCGTCCAACGATTCGAGAAAACCGAAGAGACCGAAGGGAAAACCGACGAGTTCCGACCAAGAGTCCGAAGAGTCGACGAGCAAGCGACCATCGGGGGGGAAATCGGGGAGCAAGCCGGTTATCGGCTCCCGCTTCGATCCCGACGACGAGGAGGAATCGAATCAAAAGCAGAGGCCGGAATCAAAGTCGAATCGAATGCCAACAAGCGCGGACAATCCTCAGAATCCCAATTTCCAATTTCCCACTTTCTTCATGCCATCCTTCGTTCCTGGCTTCTCCTCGCCTTACACGAATCCGTACGGTCCCAACAGCAATGCATGGGCTGGATCCAACGCCGGATCGAGAGGTTATGGAACTGGAGGAGCGGCGTCTTTCGCTTCGGCCGGCGCGTCGGCTGGAGCCTCTGATATACCCTCGAATTATAACGCTTATCCCCAAGGGGGATATCCAGGAGGATACGGCGACACCTCGAACATGGTCAACGCACCTACACCAGGATTGTATAACAGTGGGGGATATGGTAGCTATGGAGGAGGTAATATTTAACGAACGGGGTGAAAAAAACTCGAGGACTTACTCCTTGGGGACCGTTGGATAGGTGCACGCCGAGTGTGGCGATGCGCTTTGCGTTTAAAAAGAGAGNAGAGAGAATGTAATGAGACGAAAGAAAAATAATCGTGGTTATTTTTGTTTAT